AGCTCAAAATTACGGTTGCAAAATCCCTCTATTCAATTCAGTCATTCAGTTCACCACCGGCTCGACGATGGGAGAACCAAGATGCAATACATGACATAGAACAATGGAAGACTGCGCTGGATCCAATGGAAGAAACGACCGACTGCTAGTACTCCGTGGACAGGGAGGTCATCATTAGTCCAAAGATATAAGCTATAGTTCCTCCCCAAAGAAGCCATTTTGAACCATAGCTATTGAATATGCGTCCCCACTGGACGAATTAGCTAGTTAGCAATCTGGATTAAAGGTGATTTGCATTGGGAAGTATAAGTTTACCACGGTTCCACAAAAGGTCGACGGGATCATTATACGCAGGTCTGAGTTAGTAAATTAATGTATCATCCGGAATATCCCTGTTCCAATCTGGTGCACAGCACCCTGATGCCGACATTGAACAGTTGGCGTGCATACGAGTAATGCAGCTCCCTGAGCTGTTGAGTCATGTAGAAACACTGCCAACTAGTTATTGAAGCAACAATATGCATTACAGGATCTGCAAGAGTTGTCATAGCCACCCTAACGTCAAGCTAAGATGATTGTGAGGCTTATGGAGTAGTGATTTGACTAGGGGCTTTCTGTCAAAAGTCTAGCGGTCGCGGAGGCATCGTGTGTTTACCAAGCCACTCTTCAGCTCTTGGGTATCGTTCATCTGGACATCATCCGGTAGTGCCCTGGGCACCGTAGATGAGCAACAACGCGCAACACACATTGGCTAGCAGTGGTATTCCCAACTGGAGTCCATGGGGTGAACAGCTGAAGGTTGTAGGATAATTCATCGTCAACAGGGGGTAAATACAGAAGTCGTCATACATCTGCTCTCCGAATTTTCTCAGACGACTTATTTAATATAACTATATGCAGGACTGGAAGAAAATTCTGGGTTCTGCGGAGCTTCTTGGAAGAAAGGTGCAGTTCATGTTCAGCCATAGGCTCACCATGTTGCAGACGACTGTGGGTTCCCCAAAAAAAATTCCATAAAGGGTTGATATAACGGTTTCAGGGCTGCAGCCTTTAGGGCCATACAGTATGGAAGCCTATTGTCCACAGTGAGCCAGGTTAATGCAGTTGAATTGATGAAACCAGCCCTCTGCCAAAGTTGGTCATAGACAGAAAGAGGAAATGGAAGCAGCAATTGAATAGCCGTGCCATGGTAGTTATGTGCAGGACAGGTTAGAGCTGTACTAAGGGCAATGGACAGCCGGGTATCCAAATTATATCCTTGGGGAAAATGAGTAAGGTATCCAAATGCCTTGTTGGAAGATGGAGGACTGCAAACTGCAAAACCTTTGGAGACCAGGCCCTTCAATTCCTATTTTATTTCCATATTCTGTGTACTCTTTATCGATATACGAGCTCTTGCTGTTGCAGTTTGCCGTTTTTGTGGCGTTGGTTGAGGCTGATTAAGTCTTCCAATATCTAGAAACTGCTTAGACAACTAGCTAACACCAGAGAGCAAAGCGGGATGAAACAATTGGCGTTAACTGCCGTCGAGATGGCTCATATTCACTGGGTTCGATATCTACTTAACGAAGGCGACCGTGATCGCAGGTTTAGTTAAGTCTCATGCAATAATTTAACACCACTCACTAGTTATTCCTTATTGTTTGCAAGTATATCAGCCAATATCATGACGACTTGGCTCATTTCTGGTGTCATGATTAATCAACAATACACCTGCGAGATGTTTGGTTGGTGACCGAGAAGCGGCCTTGTTGATTTTGGCTTGAATCGCTAACTGATGATTAAGCCACATAACTGAATTATTAGAAGTTTAGTAATTGGTTAGCTTAGTTATGAAGCTAATAACTAATTGAGTTAATTTAAATCTCGCTAATTAGTTAATAGGAATTTTAATCCAATAAACGTCGAGTTAAAAAAATATATTTAGATCTGCGTATCCCTCCCCGCTAACTAATTAATTAGTTAAGTTAGTTGAACAGTTAATTGCGACTTCGTCTCTTGTTTTGCTTGCTTCTTCCTCGCCAACTTTTCCAATATCTCCCCTTTCAGCATATATTGAACCATATCTTTGCCGAAGCTATGTCCTTGTGAATGATGAGGTAGTCTGAACGGCCATCACCATTGACATCCCCCAAGTAGACCAGATCGTGATCCTGTAGCAACCTCACCGCTATCCCACCCCTTGAATTTTGCAGCATTCAACCTATCGTCACTAAAAGTGCAAGTTAATAAAGTCTCATTAACAATATTATCTATGAAATGAATGCTATCATGTTATTGGAAAAGTTTAAAAAAAAGAGGGGGTGGAAGGGGCAAGGTTATCGCTAGCCGAAGTTCTGTCGGTAGGAGCTGCCATTGCCTACTTTGTTCGGCAATCCCCCACGTCTCTATTTACAGATCCACTAGATGAATGGTAGATGTATAGATATACTATGCTCATTACATGATATTGCCGTGTGTCAGTGTAGTTATGGAGGTTGCTACGGACAGTTATGAGAATCTAAAAAGATTACCACCTACATATTGATTTATCATACCATATATTGCACAATAACACGATATAGAAGATCAGTATTAGTGTATATACGATAGAGGAGGAATAAGAGGCTCCAATAAGTACATGGAGAAGAGAAATCGGCTTCACTAGCTCTTGTATTTATCGCAAGAAATACACCGTGATGAATTGATTATTTTTGAAGTTCCCAGAGATCAAGTCATGCAGCCTGTCCTTAGTACCGCAGTGCAAATGGTAGGTCTAGAATGTTTCATTTAAAAATGAGCCCTTTCTCGGTCACGCTATGTCTATTCAAGTGTTTCTTTTCTTGGATAAAGTTTCCTAGTAAGTCTGTTCTCTGTAATCAGATCCATGGTCACAAGTTCATGCTCGGCCTGTGATCAGAACATCAACTCAAGTTCTCCGTATATCTGAGGCATTTAAATACGCCCCCTATACTTTTGCGCGTGGATGAAGAGATTTTCTATGCCAACACAAAATAATGTCACCATTGAAACCGTAACTAACTAGGTAACGAGAGAGCCCGGCCCGAGCCGCGAGAGTGATGGAAATTGGGGCTGTAGGTCGTTGCGAGAGCTGCTGCACTGACAGGCAGAAATGTATAAAGGTAAACAAGAAGCAGCATTCACATGATGAGGTCATCCTTGCAGCCCTATGGAATTAAGCTTTGCGGCGGAAAGCCTGAACCCGGTTAACTAACCTTAAAAGGACGCCTGATCGGCTGCCAGCGCTTCTTCTTTCTTCTTCCTCTCGCCTCTCGCTTCAGTTGCCTTTCTTCCTCGTCTTCTCTCTGCACTTCTTATACCTGTCCATCGGCAGCTAACGATGATATATTGTTCATCTTAGCTTTGCCGAAACCGTTTCTTACCTCGCCACAAATGTTTTTCAACATACCTTATCCGCCTTCCCAGGCTGGATATTGGTCGCCTGTCACCTCCACGCTCAACTGGTGTGAAGAGGTAGCCCTTGCCACTATATGATCGCAAGTATATGATACCAGTGGACTGACGGCTTTCTTCTAGGACTACTATGCTACTCCGTACGCCGCCGAAATTGTGAATGCATTCACCAATATCCTATTTCTATATCTTGGAGTCAAGGGTATCCGGAGCTGCCGGAAGAACGGCCACGATGCCATCTTTCAAGTAGCGTTCCTTGGATACCTCCTGGTTGGATTAGGGAGCTTTCTATTCCATTCTACATTGAAATGTATGCTCCACGCGACTCGCGCTACACTCCCAGCACACTTTCGCTAACCAGGTGCTTTGTGACGTAATAGATCCCATGCAGCTCGTTGACGAGCTGTCGATGATTTACACGACATGTCTTATGTGCTACGCCACCTTCTCCTTTTCTCGGCCTCGATCTCAGTGTGTTATACTTGGAGCTGGTCTCCTGAGCTTGGCGATCTTCATCACTCTCTATTATCACTATCTCCAGGACCCAGTCTTCCATCAAGTGGCATATGGGGTCCTTACTGCAGTTGTGATATTCCGGAGCATGTGGGTGATGGAAGTTACCCTACGTCCATCTCTACAGCGATCGCGCAGCCATGCCAAGTCAGGCGCCTCGGGACACGCGCTGACTACTAGCGGGGAGACAGTGAACGACAGAGATCTCAGAATCCTCAACAGTATGTGGGTAATGGTAGCCTACGGCCTGTCGACTTTCCTTGGGGGATTCTTCATCTGGAATTTGGACAATAAATATTGCTCAACATTGCGTATCTGGCGTCGTGAGATTGGACTTCCATGGGGAATCTTGCTTGAGGGACATGGTTGGTGGTGAGTTTGTGCTATCCGTTGTGTTTTTAGAAACTTGTCTATATTGCCCACTTGCTCACTCAAAATTAGGCACTTGCTCACGGGAATCGGCGCATATATGTATATCATTTGGGGGATTTGGCTACGTCATTGCCTCCACGGCCACCAGGACGAATACAGACTTGATTGGCCCCGGCTCTATAATGCCGCTGACATCGTCCGTATTCACGATATATCTAAACCCTTAACCCCCGAAGGCTATGCTGAGAAGCTGAACTAAGGTGATAGAGATCTTAGTATATACACTAACACTTCGAGAAACACCTTTTAGACAGTTTGGCTTGGAGTTCTAGGAATTGAATCTTTATGCTTCTAATCTTGTTCCAAATCGAGTGGAATAGGGCTTGTATCCATAACTATATATATAGAACTGGTGCACACTCTAAATATGGTCTATCTAAAGGAGAATCAGCATAGTCTGCGGTTATTAAGTTGACAATAGCACGTTAAACTCAGGGGCAACCTGAAGCCTGGCTCACAAACAGTATGTCGTTCCTTATAGCTTCGCGCCAGTACTGGTTTTCTTCTTCGTATTTCGTATGCCAAGTAGATCAGCCTGTTTGACCCATTCCTGGTCGATGGTCATTTTCTCAACCGATGATTTCTTGTTCCATGCTGTGGTCAGCTGTTCCTCCTCCCGGCGCCAACGATGTATCTCCACACTTATTTGGTCGGTGCACAGTTCAGCGGTTCGATTCACCGCTTCCATGGCAATCAGGTGGCCAACCCCCTTCATAACGATTCCCTTAACTCTCCCTTCAGCCGCGCCCCCGCTACCACCAACAGCGATACCTGTCTGCTCAATCTTATCTTGGTTCATCTTCGGACTGCTGACTTCTGAATGGTCTGCAAATAAGTATAGAACACTTGGCCGAACAAAGGGAAGCATGTCAAACGTCCTAGCTACCTCGTAACGGTAGAACGGGAATGAAGATTTGTAAATGTTAGGGTCAAGGTCCGGGTGAGTAGTGCGATTCAGTGTTTGGCCGTCTTCGGACTTTGAACCATAAGCAGCCCTAAAGAAAGAAAGTACTTCCTGGTGTCGAGTTGTAGTGAGGGTTACTGGCCTTTCTCCTACAGGCTTATTGGCAGAGTCATCGTCCAACGGGTATAAAGCAGTAGGGAGTTCGCGGAGTCCATACTTGAAGAACCGTTGAAGTACACGTGGGTCCCAGTTTTGATAGAATTTGCTTCCTTTTAGAGCAGTCTCTGCAGCTATTCGAGATGGCCATAGATCCCGCCGGTATGTTGATGCGAGAGTCATAGCTGGAATATTCACCTTGGTCTGCTTGGAATATTCATGATCGAGAACGTCTAGCCTGTTTATCACAGGGTCCAATAGAATAAGCGTCGTCAGAAGCCGAGGATGCATAACGGAAAGGGATATTCTAAGTGTCGCCCCATCCCTGTTAGATGTGTTTGCTGTATCTATTCGGGGATTTCTTACAAATTGTTACCGCCCATACTATGACCAATTCCAACAATGGGTCGGGGCATTTCATCTCGCTTTAGGTTAATCAGGTGAAGGAGATCCCGCGGATTATCGTACCATGACGCTGATAAATTTGTCAACGGGACGATTATACTGTAATTCAACACTTATAAAACGTACGGTCATTCCCTAGGGAGTGCTCGTTAAGCACCCCGCTTTGACCCTGATGGGCAGCATCTGCAATCCATATACTCCGGATACGGAAGCCAGCGTGTTTTGAGCGTGCATGAATTTCCTCCCACAAGGGCTCATATAGCTCCTAATAGGTGGGTGATATTAGATATACCAGATGGGTTTTCTTTTTAAAAAAAAAAAGAAAGAAAGAAAGAAAGAAAGAAAAAAAAAGAAAAAAAAAATCGACGGAAATATAATA